TGCAATATTTTCTTAAATTTATATTAGAGAGCAAGAACTCGGGGGCAACTGTTTCTCAGACAGGGGTGCTCACAGAGGTCATTGTTCCTATGCTGAGGCCTCCCCATCTCAGAGCTGACTGCCAGCCATATCTGAGTTTCCATCAGCCTGGCTCACACTGTTCCCTCTGCCCTGATGATTGTATGAGACCCCAGCCCATCTAACTTGCAGCCCCACCCAAGCTGTTTGCAGTGGCTTTTCCATATGACTGGCCTGTCCTGTCTCAGGCTTCAGACATTCCTAAAATCTCTCAAACAAGCAGCAGCTAGTGTCAGCATGCTCCATACCTCTCAATAAGAGGCCCATGACCTGGCACTAGCTTCACAGCTTGGCCTCTCCTGGGCACTTCCAAGCCCAACACAGGTAGTAGCCATCTATAGATCACTCTGTAGCTACTGATGGGTGGCCCCAGGCAGTGGATGACTTTGCACCTCCCAGGAGGCCCCAGAGCTAGTGCACCCAGTGGAGAGCTTCAGACCATACCAGATTATAACTCTATACATCCACAAGTGACACTCAGTGATCACCAAAGCACTCAGTGAGCACCAAAGCACCATTGAAACAAGTCCTGCTCCATAGGGGTGTTTCTGGCACAACAGCTCTACCACTGTGGTCCTCACAGCCAATTGGCCTAGAGGTCAATTCCTCACAGTGACACCAACAGCAATCAAGGTTCAACTACAAGACTGTGCACACAGACCACATAGGGGTAAGCCTAGAGTGCCCAGCTCAGGTGACTGGGGAGGCTGAACCACTGGGATCTACAGGACACCTACTATACAAGGCCACTCTACCAAATCCAGGAAACATAGCAGCTCTACCTAATACAAAGAAATAAACACAGGAAGCAGCCAAAATATGGAGACAAAGAAACATGTCACAAATGAAAGAACAGAAGAAATCTCCAGAAAAATAACTAAATGAAATGGAAGCAAGAAAACTACTAGATTCAGAGTTCAAATCAATGGTTATAAGGTTGCTCAGGGATCTTAATGAGAGCTTCAAGGGACTTAGTGAGAATTTCAGAATAATGTACAGGGATTCAACAGCAGAGTAAAGGATTCCAAGAATCAAATCAATGATTTGGAATATGAGGAACCAAAAAATACCCAATCGGAAGAGCAAAAAGAAAAAATGAATTAAAAAAATATGAAGATAATGTAAGGAGCCTATGGGACAACCTCAAGCATACCAACATTCTCATCATTGGGGTGCTAGAAGGAGAAGAGAGAGATACCAAGATATAGAAAACCTCTTTGAAGAAATAATGACAGAAAACTTCTACCTGGCAAAAGAAATAGACTTACAAGTCCAGGAAGCACAGAGAGTCCCAAACAAGAGGAATCCAAAGAGGCCCACACCAAGAAACATTAAAATTTAAATGCCAATGGTTAAACACAAAGAGAAAATCTTAAAAGTAGCAAGAGAAAAGCAATTAGTTACCTACAAGGGAATGCCCATATAACTGTCAGCTGATTTCTCAACAGAAAATGTTCAGGCCAGAAGGGAGTGGCAGGAAATATTCAAAGTGATGAATAGCAAGGACCTACAATCAAGATTACTCTATCCAGCAAAGCTATCATTTAGAGATAAAGAGCTTCACAGATAAGAAAAAACTAAAGGAGCTCATCACCACCAAACCAGTATTACATGAAATGTTGAAGGGTATTCTTTAAGAAGAAGGAGAAGAAGGAGAAGGAGGAGAAGGAGGAGAAGGAGGAGAAGGAGGAGAAGGAGGAGAAGAAGGAGAAGAAGAAGAAGAAGAAGAAGAAGAAGAAGAAGAAGAAGAAGAAGAAGAAGAAGAAGAAGAAGAAGAAGAAGAAGAAGAAGAAGAAGAAGAAGAAGAAGAAGAAGAAGAAGAAGAAGAAGAAGAAGAAGAAGAAGAAGAAGAAGAAGAAGAAGAAGAAGAAGAAGAAGAAGAAGAAGAAGAAGAAGAAGAAGAAGAAGAAGAAGAAGAAGAAGAAGAAGAAGAAGAAGGAGAAGATATAAACAATAAAATGGCAATAAATACATATCAACAATTAAACCTAAAAATTAAAATAAACTAACAAGAAATCTAATGAACAAAATAAACTGATGAATAAAGTAGACCTAGATGCATGGAAACATGGAACAGACTGACAAATCTCAGAGGGGGGACAGGAAGAGATTAACCAAGAACTTGTATGCATATATGCATTACCTATGGACACTGAAAAAAGGTGGTGAAGGCCGGGAGTGGGGTGGGAACTGGGTAGAGGGGACATCTCTAATATTCTCATCAATATAGATTTAAGAATTTTTTATTAGAATAAACCTAGGTAATATATATGAGGATGGATTCTAAGGGTATTAGACCAAGGTGAACAGAACAGAACATCGGGTTGGGGCCAATTTTAGGTAGCCTAGATATAATACACTTTCCATATATTTTTTGATTTAATGCTAATATAGTAATAGTCCCCAGGGAATCATGCCACTTTGTATATTATGCCCTCATGTGACACCCTTCCACATTGATTTTTGGCATGGCTCTCTGACTTTCTTTGGCCAATGAGACATTAGCAAATGTGATACAGACAGAAACCTGAAAAGCACTTGCACTTTGCCGCTTGCTCTCTTTGTGCTGTTTTTGGATCAGCCTTCATGTTGAAGAAGCATGAACAATCTGCTGGAGACACATGGCCTAACTGAGAGCCAGCACCAACTCCAAGACTTGTGAGTCAAAGACCAGCATCCTCCAGCCAATCTGTCAATTGACTGCAAATGCATAAGTGAGCCCAGTTGACACCATGTAAGGCAAAAATGACTTGCACCAGCTGAGCCCAGCCCAAATTATTTACCTCCAAAATCATAAAAGCATAAATGATGAACATAAGCCACAAGTTTTATTATACAGCAAGAGCTAGCTAAAATACATGCATTTGCTTGAACAGCTAGAGATGGCACAATTGGCTTACTTGGTTGGCTGAAACCTGGGCTCAATAGCAAGCTACATTCAATGGTGTTCGGTTGACAGAAGAATTTCTCTGACATAATGTACAGGAAGAATTCTAAAGGCTTAGAGAGATAGGAATAATGGAGTAGTTTATTATGTGTAACCTGTCCATCTTTCCTCACCCCACTGGGCCCTGAAAGTGTCCAAGGAATATTCACTTCACTAAAGTATTGAGAAATGCATTAGTGAGGCAGCCCCAGCAACCTTAAACACCTCCAGGTAGACCAAAAACAATAGTGGGAAATGCTGCCATTGAGATGGGCTTCCTAATTTCAGTGGGGATAATGAGATCCCAGAGTGGCAATCAGAATTTTTTACTCAAAGTAAAAAAAATCTTTGGTGGTGGTTGACCCTAAGAATTAAACATATGGCCGGACTACCAAAGCAATAGAAATATAACTTGAGTTCTCACAACTGAGAATCACAGCTTCTTACATTCCCAGACCTTATTAGTTCACAGATCTGAAGCTCCGGGTTGGAGAGGAAGAAGAGACCCCTTGAGAAAGGACCCTGCAACAATACCACAAATACTTACTGTAGCTCTCCCTCCAAGCCATCCCCAAATCATTTACTAGGGTGTCTGTGCACTGGGAGAAATGGAAATACCCTGGCTTTTCAGGGATTCCTAACCACTGTTCTGAAATGATGCTAATCCTTAAGAACCCCAAATGCCACTGTGGTCCACTGGTCAAACAGGGGCTTACAGTAGTCCCCCTTATCTGTGGTTTCACTTCCCACAGTTTTAGATACCTGCAGTCAACAGTGATACAAAAATATTAAATGAAAAATTTCAGAAGTAACTACTTCAAAAGTTTTAAATTGTGAGCCCTTTTGAGTATAATGATAAAATCTCACACTGATCAGCTTTTTCCCGACCCATGCGTCCATCCCTTTGTCCAGCATATATGTGCTGAATATATTCGCTGCCCATTTGTTACTTACTAGCCAGCTTGGTTATCAGATTGACTGTCACAGTATCTCAGTGATTGTGTTTAAGTAACCCTTGTTTCACTTAATAATGGCCCCAAAGCATAAGAGTAGTGATGCTGGAAATTAGGATATGCCAAACAGAAGTTGTAAAATGCTTTAAGTGAAAAGGTGAGATACTTTGAAAGAGAGAGGCCATATTCACATAAATTTTATTAGAGTATATTATTCTAATTGTTCTGTTTTATTATTAGTGTTGTTAATCTCTTACTGTGCTTACTTTATAAATTAAACTTCATCATAGGTATGTATGTATGTATGGATAGGGAAAATGTAGTACAGTATATATCAGCACTGTCTGTGGCTTCAGGCATCCACTGGATGTCTTGGAACATAATGCCCACAGTTAAGGGGGGAGAGGTGTATAGTGGCCAGGTGATAGAGTTTGGGCCTAATTCCATCTTGTCATGAATCTGTGATCCATAAAGCCATTAAAGATGATAATTAGGGAGACCAGTAAGCAACATAGTTGCTTATGGTACAATGACAATTTGGGAAAAAAATAGAAAATTACATGTTACAACTAACTATAGCTGAAGGTATGTACATGTCTGGAAGAAGAGCAAATGCTGACAGCAAAAATGAAAAGACTTTTGCTTGGATGATGAGATCATAGGTGTTTTTTGGTTTGTTTGGTCTTTCTCAATTCCTTAGACTCTCCCAAATGCTATTTTTGCTTCCCTTTTAAGAGGTACTTTTTTTTTAAAAAGACTTAAAACTCATCTAGCTATTTTATTTTAAAAATGTCCATTTATATACTTTTCAGTCAATCATATTAAGGTCATAAAAGGTCAGAAGGTCAAGTGTAGCCATTCTCCTCAATATTATAATGAATACTAGAGGCCCAAAGCACGAAATTCATGCAAGAATAGGCCTTTCTTCCCCTGGCTGCCAGCACTGGCTTACTTCTGGCACCTGGGACCCGGGCTTCCCTCGCAGCCCCAGCTTTGTCCGGAAGGTCATCCAGAAGGACATCCAGTCTAGTTAGCATATTACGCTTTTATTATTATAGATGCTGTAGTATAGAACATATATCATACTGCCTTATGGTCTTCTTTCCTGAAGAAGCCTGAATTTTGGGTTACTGGAACTGGGGATCCCTCTCACTATTTGGTATTCTGGAGAATAGCTCAAATCTAGGACCAAAGATGGCAGTATTTTGACAGAAACCATTATGCAACTGGGTTCCTAAGTTAAACACCACCAACCAAGGATTTAGCATGCAAACCACATATCTGAGGGCAGGTGGGGATTCAGAATAGGTGGGCTTGCTTCCCCAGTGGAAGGCCTTATCTGCCTGCCCTGATCTCCACAACATTAGGAGGTACTGCTCCTCAAACAGGGACCCCAGACCAACCCAGAGGACCTGGCAAACAGCACTGGGACCCCTCCCTTCTGAAGAGGGCAGCCAAATGAAAGGCTTTCAAACCTCTGGGAGCCAACTGGCCTGATGAATATTAAACTTACTGACTTGGATGGGCCCTGGATGGGCACTTAGCCAAAATTAGAATATCTGGAATACTTCGAAGAATGAACAATTGAGTTTCATTCTTCAAAGGCATTCTTTGATTTCTAAAGACAGGGAGTGGAGGAATTTAGGTATTATATGATTTGTCTGTTACTCATCTTCACACCCCTTCATTTTCATTAACTCCAAATTCTCCTTAGCCTGAGCACCAGTTCAAGAGCTTGCTTTAGGCCCTAAGACACTGTTATACTTGCTAATATACACATTTGGATAGTTCCTGGGTCAACTAATGCTCTGAGCTTCATGGCCCTGGCATAGAGATCAAATTTAACATGATGAAACTATTGTTGGTGTGTCTAGTCATCCTCCCCATTGACATACACATTGGAATCCACAGGATTTCTATAGTGCCAATAATCAAAGGCCTTGATTAATGGGTATCACCATATCCCAGACATAGAAACTGAGCCACTGAAAGGGTAAGTTAAAGTCATATAGAGACCCAGGAAATGAGCCTCCCTTTGGTGGTTTGACCATATGGCTACTCATCTGAAATCTTTTTAGGCACAGCATATTAGCATGCCAGAAATTTTAAATGTATATCATTGATTTCCAACAAGGTTAAAAACCAACAATAATCCAACAGACTGTTTGGAAGGAAAGATGTAGTTAAAATAACAACAAAACTACCACTCAACATGATGTAATTACAGATAAAATAAATGCTTTGTGATTCAGACCTCAAAAAAATACTCAATGACTTTTCTCCATGATTTGTAGTTGGCCACTGTGTACTTAAATGCTTCCTGTTGATTAGAATGACTTAAATGCTTTCATGATTCCAGTAAGCCCTAAAGTGCGTCATTTATGGCTTGACTTTGTAGAAAGCCCTGTCTGTGAGCTGATAGTTTCAATAGTCTTTTCCTATAGATAAAAATTACTGGCAATCTGTCCATTTCTGCAGCTAAAGATTTCCATTCATCTCTGCTCTGGGAAGTTTTTGAAAACTTAGGGAGAAATAATTCCCTTTGTTTTTACTCTGACAGCAAGAAGGAGCCTCGGGACATGAACTGGGGTCCAGGATCCAATGTGGTCATTTTCTAAAGTGCAATAGTGCTTGCTCAGTCACAGGCTGTAGAGGTGAGAGCGGATGGGTGAAGGGGTGGGCTGCCTGCCTTCCTCTGAGCACATGGTGGCCAGGAGCTGCTTAGCCTTGTTGTAGTCTCCTGGTTAAAGTGCTGGGTTGTGTACGGCCATTTGAAAAGTACAAACAAGCCTTGTGGGCTAAGGGATTCTTGTTCAGAGTCCAGAGGCTTCTTGAGGATGTCCCATCAAGTCACCCCAGCTCCCGAGATCGCGTGTTCAAATCTGAAGAGAAAAGTCCATAAACAGGAAAGTCACTTTTCTGATTAGAAAATATACAATTTCTCAAAAAAAAAAAAAGATTGAAGTGAGAAACTACTGCAGGAAAAAAAGCTCATCTATCTGGAGGCAGCATGGTTCAAAACGTCTCATTCTAACCATTGCCCTAGTCCAAGTCTTCAGCCTCTCTGTGCAGACCTATTGCAAGAGCCTTCTTTCCTCCATTCTCTGGGCTGCAGACAGCTCAGTGCTACTGCAGCACAGTTCATGGGGCTTCCCTAGTCAGACTCTTGTAGTTCCCCACTGTGCCAGATAGTTCAGTTTGTTCCTAGAGACTCAGTCTCCACCCTGCTCTATCCCGTTCGTGCCCTAGGAGGATGACATTGTAGACTATGCCACTGGCTTCCATCCCACTCTTTCCCTCAGCATAGGAGAGAAAGGAGATTGCAGTGAGGAGAGAGTGAGGTCAGGGTATGCGTTCCTCAGCAAGCAACCTCCCAAACAGGTTGCAGGTGGACTTTATCCCTCTGTCAAAGGCTATAGCGCCTTGTGGGCGTCCCCTCCTCTTGCTGTCCTCTCCAGGTTCTGGTAACTGCACCTTTCCTTTTCTCCTTCAGGCCTAGGGATGCTTAACTGTTCCCTGCTTTTGCTAATTCCAGAGTGCTTGATATCCCTTGCTGATATCCCTTAACCCTGCTCAAATCTTTGTTAAATAGTAAAAACTTGTAAAATTGCTTTGTCACCCCTTCTATCATTTCCTTCTGAGACCTGACTAAGCATCATGCCCAGTGGAAAAAAAAATCTAATCTCCTTTGCCTGGAATTTATGACTCATAATGTCCCCAACATTCTTTCCTCTTATCTCACTCCTGGCTCTTTTCAACTAGGATCACATGCCTTTTCCTACAGCTGCCCCAGTTCTCCCTGCCTCTCTGCTGTATCTCCTATGTCTCCTCTCTTTAGATAAGAAGCTCATAAAACAAACAAACAAATAAATACAAAACAACATAGAGATTGGGTCAGTTGCCAGGGGGCATGCAAAAAGCTGATCTCTTTTATTTTTATTTTAACTTGGACCAATAAGAACAGTTTTTTGAGTACCTTATCTCCAATACTCTATTGTAAGAATCTTGGATAACTAATGTTGTACTTAATTCACTCTTACAATTCCCACACAGTGTACCTGATGCAGAATCCAGAAAATAGCAGAAACTTAATACGTTTGAGAGTGAATGAATGAGTGAATGAATGACTAGCACTATACTAGGAATAATAAGACATTGTGTTTTTCTGTGATTATTTCATTCAAGAAAGTCACTTAACATCCCTTAGCCTTAACATCTCACTACCTCTAAAATGAGGAAGTCAGGTCAGTAAACTCTAACAAACCACAGCTTGATGACTAGAATAAATCTTTTTAAGAGAAAGCATAATATATACCTTTGGTATCAGTATCAACTACTACAGTTTACTGGTTGACATCGTGGTTACTTGTATAAAAGCAAGAAGCCATAGGCCCATATAGCACAAGGGAGTAAGGTTAGCTGCAAGAAGAATTTACACAAATGGAAAGGGCTGTGTGCCATAGACAAGGACTGAAGTGGCGTGGATTCTAGCTCCAGTTCTACCACTCAGTTATAAGATGACCTTGTACAAGTCACCTCATCTTTTACATCCTTCCAGGTTGGCTGGGCTAGTAATCTTTGAAAGGCAACTAAGACATTGGTAGGTGTTGTTGAAAGGGCATATAGTGTTTCCCTCCCTAAAGTTGACAAGGACCCAATGAAGAGTTCTATGCAATGCACTTGACTACTGGGATAAAGAGAAGTGAATGGGGAGTAGATAAAAGGACTTCAGAAAGTTAGTTCTTCATCTAGCAAGCATCCATATGTAATTAAAAGTGATACATTGGGACAGCTAAAAATGCATTAAACTACAGAGAAAATTCAGGAAACAAAAGAAGAAAACAATACAAGTTTCCATAACATAAAAATAATAATTATGGACCTTTTATATATCTATCCCATAAAGTCCCTACTGGAATACTTAAACTCTGCCATCAGGGCAGGGGAAGGGGTGTGAATGCTGGGGGGAGCGGGGGGCAATATAGAAACAATGAGCATGGCTCTGTTTTAATAAGATTTTGTTTATAAAAACTATTGGCCCCATGCTCCCATCCCCCTGTTGTCCATGTCCATTGGTTTGGCTTATATACATGTATACAAGTCCTTCGGTTGATCTCTTCCCCTTACCCCCGCCCTCCCCTACTTTCCTACTGGGGATTGGACACATTTGTAATACCTTAACTAATAAAAAAAAATCAATAAAATATATTTAAAAAAAAACTATTGGCCCCTGGTCAAAGTTTGCTTAAACCCCTTTTAGTTGATACATATAAATGAATAGTAGAGTGCTAACTCTGGCTGATTCTCATTTAATAGATGCCTAATGAAAGTACACTTTCCAACAGTGGTTCTCAACCTTCCTAATGCCGCGACCCTTTAATACAGTTCCTCATGTTGTGGTGACCCCCAACCATAAAATTATTTTCGTTGCTACTTCATAACTGTAATTTTGCTACTGTTATGAATCATAATGTAAATATCTGATATGCAGGATGTATTTTCAGGGGTTGCAACCCACAGGTTGAGAACCGCTGTAAGATGTAATAGGCTTTCAAGGGAAGAGGAAGATCCTCACCTGCTTTCTAGAAATTTGTAAGTTAGTACTTTGGGAACTGCAGATGTTACTCCTGTAAGCTTTTACCCAACATAAATGCTATAATTAATATACTTATTTTCTTTTAATAAATATATGGCATACAGGACATTAATGTTTATAACCTGGTCTGAGAACCCAATTTTCCTAAATCTTATAATACTTGTTTTCTCAGGATAAGAAAAAAACAATTTAAAAGTAAATGACAGCTCTGGCCAATGTGGCTCAGTTAGCTGGAGTGGCATCTTGTACACCAAAAGGTAGCGGATTTGACTCCTGGTCAGGGCACATACCCAGGTTGTGGGTTTGATTCCTCAGTTGGAGTCCATGCAGGAGGCAACTGATCAATATTTCTCTCTCACATTGATGTTTCTCTCTCCCTCCCTCTCCCAAACCTTAGTTAAAATGTTGCTATGAAGGTATCTTGTAGATATGATTAACATATACCATCAGTTGACTTTAAATAAAACAGATTATCTTCCATAATGGAGGTGGGCCTTGTTCAATCAGTTGAAGACCTTAAGAGCAACACTTGAGATTTTCCAGAAAAGAAGGAATTCTGGTTCAAGACTGTAATAGAGACTTCCCAGACTGCTGGCCTGCTCTACAGATTTCGGACTCCAGATTGCACTTTCAACTTTTACCTGAATTGCCAGCCTACTAGCCTGCCCTACAGATTTCATACTTGCCAGTCTCCTAGTGGCTCTGTTTCTCTGGAGAAGCCTGGGGTTCATTTTGTCTCTAACAACAGGTACCGGGTTTTCTTGGCTGTCTAAACACTGGGCCCCAGACCTGTCCTCTTTCCATTCCCAAAATCAATATCTCCATATCTTGATCCCCCTTGTTCCCAGAAGATATTATCTAAAATGTTAAATTAGTTCTCAATAAAGAGTTAATTGTTGGTGAGCAACTTTATAGAGGAGGAACTTAAAAAGCACCTACTGGGGTGGGTAGGCTCTATCTCCCTTCCTCTCTGAAATCAATAAAAATATATTTTTAAAAAGATTATGTATCTAGCTCACAGGAAAACTTGAATCTAAATCTCTTGAATTTTAGTTATACGCTCTTTTGTATAAAAATAAATAATTCAGGCCCTGGCCAACTGGCTCAGTTGGTTGGAGTGTCATCCTGTACACCAAAAGAGAGGTTTCAGGTTTGATCCCCAGTTGGGGAATGTATGGGACACAAATGATTGATGTTTCTCTCATTGATGTTTCTCTCTCTCTCTCTCTCTCTCTCTCTTTTTTTTTCTAAAATCAATAAAAACATATCCTCGGGTGAGGATTAAAATCACACAATAAAAACATAAATATTTCAGGCATAAAGCAAAGGGGATCATACAATGGAACATCTGTATCTCTGCCACCCAGTTTAAGAGGTTAAATGTGGTGTTTATAATTTCCGTGCTGTTTTTGTATTTTTACTTCACATGACTGTTTCCATAAACACTACTTAGTGGTTGTTTGCATGTATTTAAAAATCTCTATGATAGGCCATATGTTGTCTATATCTTTCTGCGATCTGTCTTTCCTCTCAAAATTATATTGTTCAGAATTAACTAACTCAAAAATACATCTAGCTTTGGTGCTTTAATTTTAATTATTGAATAGCATTCTTCATCTACTCTCCTATTGATTCATATTTTATTATTTCCAATTTGTTGCTATTAAATGTACCAGGAATATTCCTATGTGTGATTTCTATGATGTATGTTTATGTGTTGCTGACCTCTTTACATCACACCAAGTAAGTGCCAGGGAGGGGTGAGGAAGAGAGGAGGAGCATCACTCCCTTACCTCCCAGACGCTCCCTTCTCCCCTTAGAAGGTAGAGGGCGGGGGACTGTAATTGGCTGGTGGGGGTGGTGGAGCAGAATTAGGTGCATTCTTTCATTGACTTTTGATTGAGATAGTTACTCTATTTTGAATTTTATTTATTTATTTATTTTTTAAAAAATATATTTTATTGATTTTTTACAGAGAGGAAGGGATAGGGATAGAGAGTTAGAAACATCGATGAGAGAGAAACATCGATCAGCTGCCTCCTGCACACTCCCTACTGGGTATGTGCCCGCAACCAAGGTACATGCCCTTGACCGGAATCGAACCTGGGACCCTTAAGACCGCAGGCCGACGCTCTATCCACTGAGCCAAACCGGTTAGGGCCTATTTTGAATTTTAGATACCATTAAAAAAGGGTGTGAGTTTTTTGTTGTTGTTGTTTTTTCTGTTTATAAGGAAATATACTGGTTAAAAATGGTCATGCTATCCTGTTAATCCAAAGAAGTCAC